CACTAAGATACTCAGGAATACCCTAATTTGCTTAGGCTGGTTTTGAACTTGTAAATCTCCTGCTTCAACTTCCCTTGCTGCTGGGATTACAGGCATGTGCCACCACATCTGGCCTTCTGCCAGTCTTTAGAGGTGGGCCTTTTGAGTTATAAATCCAGTGATTGTAGTCTTACACAAACTACACTTATAATACATAATGTATAATTTCCAGTTTCAATATCTTTAAAAAGTAAAGTGAGAACTTAATACTTATTAAAGTTATAAATGAGGGGCTGGGGATGTGGCTCAAGTGGTAATGTGCTTGCCTAGCATGTGTAGGGTGCTGGGTTCAATCCTCAGCACCACATAAAATAAAATAAAGATGTTGTGTCCACCGAAAACTGAAAATATTAAAAAATTCAAAAAAAAAATAAAGTCATAAATGAAAGTCTTTCATATTAAAAAAGAGAATTATAAGTGCAGAGGGTATGTGGCTCAGGACAGAGCACATATTAAACATGTAAAAGGCCCTGGATTCAATCCTTCCCATCAAAAAACATAAACACACACACACAGTGTGTGTATATACGTCACCTTTCTATGGCAGTAAACTCAGTTTCATAAAATACATCTTTTTTATTTTTTTGTTCCAGGAACTGAACCTATGGATGCTTAGCCACAGCCCTTTTTTATATTTTATTAGAGATAATGTCTTGCTGAGTTGCTTAGGGCCTTGATAAGTTGGTAAGGCTGGCTTTGAACTAGGGATCTCCCTGCCTCAGCTTCCTAAGCCGCTGAGATTATGGGTGTGCGCCACCATGCCCGGCTCAAAAAATAAACCTTTCATTTCACTATCATATTTATTGGTTTATGCAACTCTAAAGCTATTTAATTACAATACAAATCCAGGGTGTAATAAAATGATCCTTGGCAAGTATATTTCCTCTAGTGGCAGAAATGCAGTGGGCATCAAGCAGTACAGCTTATAAGAAGAGGATGGAGAATGTGCTGAATTGCTTAAAATACAAATTTGTTAACCAATATTATAAGTTCAAGGCCAGACTCAGCAATTGAGTAAGACCCTATCTCAAATAAAAATTAAATTAAAAAAGGCTGTGGATGTAGCTCAGGTATAAAACCCCTGAGTTTTATTCCCTGTCCCTTAAAAGAAAATAAATAAATAAATAAGGTTGGGGATGTAGCTCTATGGTAGAGCTCCCCTGGGCTCAATCTCTAGTAACCACCCCCACCCTACACACTAAATTTACTTCTTATTGTTTCTGCTCTTCCTGGGACAGTACTGGGCACATAGCAAGTTCTACAACTATTTGTTCCATGAAGTATAGTTAATAGTACATGCAAGGTCGGGATTCCATTTCCTTCAGTCTTCAAAATCACAGAGACTACCTATACTTAAATTTCCAAAAGGGAACAGAGTAAGGAATATAAACTGTAACAGGTCCTGATAGAAAACATATGAATACAAAATGTAGACAGTTTCACATTACCAAAAGTGGATAATCCAGTGCTTAAAAGATGGTATCTTATAAAAGAAGTAGAATAGCTCAAATATCAGGTCAATAAAAAAATGAAATATGTTCACAATCCAATTTAATCTTATCATGTCAAAACTAAGAGGGGCAGGTCAGGTGGGGTGGTACATGCCTATAATCCAGGCGGCTCAGGAGGCTGAGGCAGGAGGATCAAGAGTTCAAAGCCAGTCTTAGCAAGGCACAAGGCAGTGTATTTTGTATTTTATTTAGAGACCCTCCCTGTCTCTAAATAAAATACAAAATGGGGCCGGGCGTGTGGTTTAGTGGTTGAATGCCCCTTAGTGCAATCCCCAGTACCGAGAGGGCGGACAGGTGGGGGGGCGGGGGGAGAGAAGCAGGTATACTAGGGCATGCCTGTAACCCCAGCAACTCAAGAAGCTGTGACAGGAGGATTGCAAGTTCATAGCCAGCCTGGGCAATTCAGGGAGACCCTGTCTAAAAATTAAAAAACAAAAAGACTAGAGATGTAGCTCAATGGTAGAGCACCCCGGGTTCAATCCCTGGTACTGCCAAAAAAACAAACAGGATGGTTTCTGGTTTTCCTAAAAAATGGCAGGTAGAGAAGGAAAACAAGCTGCCATAGATGTCTCAATGCGTATTAGGCTTCTTTCCCATCCTCAACCACGAACAACAGAAAATATCAATATTTTAAACAAAAACCAAAGCCCCAAACAAATGAACTTTTGGTTTACCAGTTATTATGAAATAAATATGCAAATATAGAAATTAAAGGCATACAAATGTACTATGTAAGAAAATAAAAACTTGCAAATAAAAAACCTAAATATAAATAGTAAGTATCTTAAATATAAGTAATAAATGTGGTGGTTTGGCCATTTCATTTTAGCCTAAGTTTTGTGAAGTATTTGAAAGTTTAAAAAACTTGGAGCATTATGACAGAAGATCTATAACAACTAGGAAGTTCAAAGACTGCAGCTACTTATAAAACTCTTGCCCTTGTCCACTAGAAAAGAATCCACAGGGGCACTGCCTTTCTTCCTTCTAAGTACTGAAAATGTTAGGAGAAACTTAAGAGCTAGTCTGTGAGGCTGCACCAGTCCCACTAGATGGCACTATCACAAGCAAGTCACTCTGCTCTCCCATTTGAAACAGCAAAGGCTGAAATCTCTTGTTTTTTTTTTAAAGAGAGAGGAGAGAGAGAGAGAGAGAGAGAGAGAGAGAGAGAGAGAGAGAGAGAATGAGAATTTATTTTTAATATTTATTTTTTAGTTCTCGGCGGACACAACATCTTTTGTTGGTATGTGGTGCTGAGGATCGAACCTGGGCCGCAAGCATGCCAGGCGAGCGCGCTACCACTTGAGCCATATCCTCAGCCCTGAAATCTCTTGTTGATCTTAGCAAAACTGAAAGCTCCCCAGTACCAAAAAAGCAAAAAACAAACAAACAAACAAACAAAAAACACTAAATAAAACTAAAACTGTCATCTATAGTGATATCCTTATTGGGAAACTATGATCTGTAACAATAAATTCAAACCCAAGAGTTTCTCCAAAAGCATCCTTTTACCCAGTCCTTTTTACTTCCCCTCTCCATTTCTAATCAATGGTCTGATAAATATGTCTCATAGGCAACAAAATTCATATAAAATGGATATTTTCTTTACCTCTTCCTAACTCTGCAAATTACAGATACTACTTTTTTTTTTTTAAGTTTCTTTGTTCTGGAAAACAATACTCTCCTACTAGTCCCTGAATAACATTTATTGTGATAAATACACTATGACTTGAACATCAAAATAACATACAATTAATGGAATAAAAACAACAGGACTTAGAGGAACTTCTCTCTCCACAGAGAACATCTTTCTCTTTATGTTAAAGGTATAACTTCTTATTAAGCAGGATACTGCTTTCAAGTCTTCTGACACGTTAGTTCCATGATTCTAAATTGGGTTGAAGCAGCAAATTCAGAATACCCTCATTTCCGTTACTTATGCCCTACTCCATCAAAAGTATTCTTGGATATAGCCATCAGGAGTCTAAAAGCAGAAAGAAAGAAAAACATCCTAACAAAAACCAGTGAGTTTAAACTGCATACAACTCGAACACCAACTTTCTAATTTACTCAATAGGGAACCAACTGAATATATAGATTTGGATGTAAGCCTTATGCCAAATTCCCATGTTAAAAGACACATCAAAAGTCATCAATAAGTAATCAACTGAACCATGGATCAATTTAATATCCAAATACACTGCTCATTTCTATCTGAAGCTACTTCACCTAGGTCAGAGAATTTATGTCTATCCACATGAAATTCAAAACACAATGCTCAAGAGTAGCCACTCCAAAGTTCCACCAAAAGTCAAGTTATTTAATTAAAGTGGCAAAGAAACCAAAAATGTGTATCAAATCCTGGGTTCCTAAGCACCTTGTCACAGCTCTAATGCAGCTCTCATCAAAATATCATCTCTCCTCAGAGACTGGCGTTCTCTCTTTGCACAACGCCTAGAATACTATAGGCACTCAATACCTATTGAATAAACAAAAACTATAAGTTCATCCCAGAGCTCACCAAAATTGTGTGATCCATCAAAGAAGTTATGTTTTCCAACTATAAACTTTAACATTCACTTCCCTGAAGAAGCAACTAACCAAAGCATGAAACCTAGGTTACCTTGAGATAAAACTTCTTGGAAAACACAGAAAGAAATGTATCATATTGGTTAAAGATCAAAAATTCACATATTCACGTACCTCAAGCCTAAATAATCTAACAATCATGGGTCAGTGAAATTTTTAAATAAAGCATCATACATACATACACATACATACATACACACACACACACACACACACTCTTTATATATTGCACTAAAATCATCCCATGGGAACAGAGGGGCGAACTGCCAAGTACATAAGGATATGCAGGCAGCCATAGCACTGTTTGACATCTGAACTACCCATTAATGGGGCCTTGAACTTATTTTACACTCCCACAACAAAAACAAAAACAATGAAAAGGAAGAAAAATAAGAGGAGAGAGAAAACGGTCTGGGGTGCAACCAGGAGGAATCAGCTAAGCTGCAGAACTGAACTGAAAGATTTCACAGAGTAAGATTCTTCAATGCTATATCATATAACTACCCAGTAAAATCAGTGTAATAAAACTAGGCAAAGCCTTGTAATTATTTTTTTTTTCTGAGTAGCTGAGAATTTTTAACAAAATATGGCATAAATTCTAGATACACATTCTATCAGTATCCTTTTAACAAACCCTTCAAGAAACTTCTCCTGTATTTGAAGGGGGAAAGAAGCATATACTCCCATGTAGAACACCTTCAAATACGCTATTGGAAAGACTGGCAGGATTTAAAAGTTCAATGGAATCATGAGACAAATTTTCCCTGCACCCATCAGTATGTTTCACCCAAACTGCTCTTAATCATTTTTTAAATGTGTTTACATTAGACTACCAATAGTGTTCATCATCTTCATTTTACTCACCTTACTAACACCAACTCCAGTAAACCTGGCCTCTAATAATTCCTGCCGTCGTGGGTCCAGGCTATGCAATTCTTCCATCATTTCTACTGAAAAAGAAAAAGTAGACTGTAAAAACCATGAAAACTAAAATGTGAGGAAAAGTTTTATTACAACAAAACTCAGAGCAGTTATTTGATTGAGACATACAGTAAACCTCAAAATAAAAAATAGAGCATAAGAGTAGTTAACTATAATGCACTGCACCAAATAATTATTTGACATTACCAATATATTCAAAGTTCTATAGCAGCTTGAAAGTCCTTGTCTATGGGGGCAACTTACTCTTATCCCAATAAAGAAAAACTACAAACCATTCATACAACATCTGTAAAAGTAGTAGAGGGGGGAAAAAAAAAACATGGATGAGGGGTGGTGGCACAAACCTGTAATCCCAGCAACTTGGGAGGCTTGCAAGTTCAAAGGAGGATTGCAAGTTCAAAGCCAGCCTCAGCAAAAGCGAGGCACAAGGCAACTCAGTGAGACCCTGACTCTAAATAAAATACAAAATAGGGCTGGGGATGTGGCTCAGTGGTTGAGTGCCCAAGTTCAATCCCAGGACCAAAAACAAAACCAACAACAATAAAACATGGATGATCTTGCAAAAAGAAATTTACTTCTAACAACCTTTGTATCTTTGAATTCTAGCTAAGTATTTTCAGATATTTCTTTCCCAAACACGCAGGAACTAGTTCTTAAACTAAAAATATGAATCATTAATAATTTCAAAATATGGCATGAATCAGAAGCTACAAATTACTTCAAATAACACTATTATGTAGCTCCTTTCTCTGAAGAGCTCACATTACCTCATGAAAAAAATGAATTATTTTATTTTAAATTTAATAGACAACCAAGGTGGGGCTGGGGATGTGGCTCAAGAGGTAGCGCGCTCGCCTGGCATGCGTGCGACCCTGGTTCGATCCTCAGCACCACATACCAACAAAGATGTTGTGTCC